ATTCTTGCAGGGAAAGATGACATTTGTAACTCATGAGTCCTTTGTCAGTATTAGGGTAGTGGGAAGGAAAAAATTATATGTATGTAGAGATAGATAGAGGGAACAGGGTGAGTTGAAGATGAAGGAAGATGAAGCAGTGATATCTGGAAAATAAAATTAAGAGATGAGAGAGAATTATACTGGGAGAAGGAGAAAGGGAGAAGTAGAATGGGGTAAAATATCTCACATGAAACAGACAAGAAAAGGCTTTTACAGTGAAGGGGAAATGCGGGAAGGTGAAAGGGAGTGAGTGAATCTTATTCTCATAGATTTTGGCTTAAGGAGGGAATAACGTACACAATGGAGTATGGAAATCTATCTTACTCTACAGGAAAATAAGCGGGGAAGGGGACAAGAGAGCAGGAGGTTGATAAGAGGGGAGAGCAGATTGGGGGAGGAGATAATCAAAAGCAAACACTTCTGAGGAGGGACAGGATCAAAAGAGAGAATAGAATAAATGGGGGGTAGGATAGGATGAAGGGAAATATACTTAGTTTTTCATAATAGGACTACTATGGAAGAGTTTTGCATGACTACACATCTATAACCTGTACTGAGATGCTTGCCTTTTCAATGAGAGTGGATGGGGAGGGAGGAAGGGAGAAAATTTGTAACCCAAAGTTTTAAAAACACATGTTAAAAATAAAAAAATTAAAAGTAAATTAAAAAAAAACTTGTAATAAAAGGAATGGATGCTATGGGTTAATAGAAGAGGATTTTTCATAAAGATGATATCCTGAGAGATTATAGAAAATCCCAGTTCACTCCTATAAACTGTAGCAAATACCTAGAAAGGCCCCTAACAGACTAATAATAAAAGAAATACCAAAGGGAGCAGAAGTTCCTCCATTTAGTCCAGAACTTCTCTAAAAGATGGCGAGAAAAGGGCAGAGACTGGGAAAGAGGATTGATCTAGTAAAACAAGTGCCAACTTAAGGAAACACGGAAGTATGGAGAAGGTCACACTAGGGAAACCAAAAGGAATACTAGTAACCAGATTAAAAGCAAGCAAAAATGAGAAGGGGGAGCCAGTATCAGCTGCAATAATCAGTTGCTTAAAGTCATATTCGAACTCTTCCCTGTCAGAAACACAAGTAAAGGGACACAACTATCCATAAGTCACCGTGCTGGGAGACAGGGCCTGGCTATGCACTTCTTAGAGCACTGACATTCACAACTAGTTGCTGTTGTTCAGTCATTTTCAATCATGTCTGACTCTTTGTGATCCCATTTAGGGTTTTCTTGGCAAAGATACTGCAGTGGTTTGCAATTTCCTTATCCAGCTCCTTTTACAGATCAGAAAACCAAGGCAAACAGAGTTAAGTGACTTGCCCAGACTCATGCAGCTAATAAGTGTCTAAGGCCAGATTTGAACTCAGGAAGTTATATAAGTCTTTCTAACTCCATTCCTGGCACTCTATCCACTGAGCCACCTAGCTGCCCCATCACTACCAGAAACAGAGTTAATTCATTACTTTTCCAAAAACATAGGGAGGACTATGCATGGGGTTTAAGACCAACAGGGTCTCCAGCCTTCCACTGGGGCCTATTAGGGAATTCACTGCAGGGAGGGTAACTAACCAAGAGAGGATCACGCAACGAGAAGAGATTAGATGATGACTGAATATGAGACATGGTAAATAGAAAAAAATACATTATTCATAAAGATGCATCTTTCTACTGAAACTGGGACTCAGCCCCAAAAATGCTAGTCTCTGATCGATGAGCTATTGCGTTATTGTGCTTGGAATGAGGCCACCGTGCTACTTCCTAGATGTTTCCAAACCGTGCTATTATGTACCTACTCCCAACTCCAGTTTCCAACCCTAGTTCCCATTTAGAACATCCCCTACTCAAATGTAATCTCCTTGTGAGCAGAAGCTTACTTTTTACTTGTATTTGTATCTGCAGCACTTAGCACAGCACAATGCTAGTGCACAGAAAGTACATCTAATGGCATAGCATCTAACTACGTCAAGTAAAAACTAATTAAATTGTAGGGACAAATAGCAATTTAAAAAAAAAGTAGAGGTCCTCAGGTTGATCCTTTCACAAGTAGGCAAATCTAACAAAAAGAGAGATAAAAAGTTAAGGACCTAAATTAAGAAAAGAAAATGGATATGCTAAATCTCTGGAGATTACTGAATTGGAATAAGAAGTAATATACCTATCAGCTATATATGGAGACTTTACAAAACTGGGCCATGTATAGGGACATAAAATTTCATTAAATACACAGATATAGAAGAACGGATTCAAATTTAAATGGAGTCTAGAGATAATTCAACCCTAAGTAAATGATGAGTTAAAACCAAATGATAAAAAAAATCATTAAAGAAAATAATAACCATTAACTTACACCAAATAATTGAAAAAAAAACCGTGGAGGAATTTTATATTTCTAAACATTTTAATCAACAAATGAATGATTAGTACAACAAAGCTTATGGCCACAGGGGAGAGGAGACCCTGATCACAGTTCCATGTTGGAAAAGAGTACTTGTGGTTGCTCCCAGAACAGAGCACAGGCCAGGAGAGTAGTAAAGATACTTCTCCTTAGATCATACCACCTTGGAAGAACTGAAAACATATAGACCACCATAACTAGCTCTGAAAACAGCAGCACAAACAAAAACCGAAGCACACAAAAAAAAAAACTGTCCGTCCCTCCACCACTCTGGGGAGCAAGGCCCAACTTTAACATAAAGTTAAAAGTCAAGAAATAGGCTAGAAAAAATGAGCAAACAATGCTAAAAGAACCTGAGCATTGAAAGTTACTATGGTGACAGGGAAGATCAAAACACAAACTTGGAAGAAGACAACAAAGTCAAAACTGCTACATCCAAAGCCTCAAAGGAAAAATGTGAATTGATCTTAGGCTCAAAAAGAATCCTGGAAGAGCTCAAATAAGTGAGATAGAGGAAAAATTGGGAAAAGAAATGATAATGATGCAAGAAAAGCATGAAAAAGAGCCAACAACTTGGTAAAGGAGGCACAAAGAAATACTGAAGAAAACAAGACTTTTAAAAAACAGAATAGGACAAATGGAAAAAGATACTCAAAAATCCACTGAAGAGAAAAACTCCTTAAAAAGCAGAATCAGCCAAATCGGGGGGAAAACACATTAGCCAGGTACTTTCAGCTCACTGAAGAAAATAATATCTTAAAAATTGGAATTGGGCAAGTGGAAGGTAATGACTCTATGAGATATCAAGAAACAAACAAAATCAAAACAATGAAAAAAATAGAAGAAAATGTGATACATCTCATTGGAAAAACAATTGACCTGCAAAATAGACCAAGGAGAGATAATTTAAGAATTATTAGACTACTTAATACCTGATATTCTAGAACCAGGGGGCGGGGCCTGGGGAAGGAGGGTGTGGAAATAGGATGGAAGAAAATACACAGTTATCATAAATGTGAAAAAAAAATTATAGCAAGTCTCTCTGATAAAGGCCTAATTTCTCAAATAAACAGAGAACCAAGTTAAATTTATAAAAAATAGGAGCCATTCTTCAATTGAGAAATGGACAAAGGATATGAACAGGCTGTCTTCAGACAAAGTAATCAAAACTATCTATAGTTATATGAAAAAATGCTCTAAATCACTATTGATTAGAGAAATGAAAATTAAAACAACTCTGAGGTACCACCTCACACCTATCAGGTTGGCTAACATGACAAAAAAGAAAATGACAAATGTTGGAGGAGATGTGAGAAAATCAAGGCACTAGTGCACTGTTGGTGGAGTTGTGAATTGAGCCAACCATTCTGGAGAGTAATTTGGAACTATGCCCAAAGGGCTATAAAATCATACATAACCTTTTACCCAGCAATGCCAGAACTAGGTCTGTATCCCAAAGAGATACAAAACAAAAAGGGAAAGGACCTACATTTATTTAAAAAAAATTTATATCAGTTTTTTTGTGGTGGCCAAGAATTGGAAATTGAGGGGATGCCCATCAATTGGGGAATAGCTAAACAATTTCTGGTATATCATTTTGATGGAATACTATTATACCATATGAAATGATGAGCAGGATGCTCTCAGAAAAACCTGGAAAGACATATATGAACTAATGTGAAGTGAAATGAGCAGAACACAGTACCAGCAATTGTACAACGATCAACTGTGAATGACTTGGCTATTCTCAGTAATGCAATGACTTAGGATGATATTATCCTTCTCCAGAAAAAAGAACTTAGAGAGTCTGAATGTATATTGAAGCTTACTTTTTTTTTAACTTTTTAAATTTTTTTTGGTCTCTTTTCAATTTGTGTTTTCTTTCACAACGTGACTAATGTGGAAATATGTTTAGCATGACTGCACACATATAACCTATATCAAATTGCTTGCTTTCTCATTGAGGGAGAGAATTTGGAACTCAAAATTTTTAAAAATGAATGTTAAAAATTGTTTTTACATGTAATTGGGGAAAATAAAATAATAAATGAAAACAAAAGAGCAATAAAAGATAGCAAATAAAAATTATAATTTTATAACAAAAAGCATACAAAGATAACAACAAAAATTTATTTTATTTTTCTGGGTAATTAATATTTTTATTTTTCTACTTCATAGTATTTTATTTTTTCAATTTCATGTAAAGATAGTTTTCAATATTCACTTTTATAAGATTTTGAATTCCAAATTTTTTTATCCTTTCCTCCCCTTCCTTCTCCCAAGATGGCAAGCCAACTGATATCGGCTATACATATACAATCATATTAAACACATTTCCACATTAGTTGTGCTGTGAAAGAAGAATCAGAAGAAAAGGGAAAAACCATGAGAAAGAAAAAGCAAAACAGAAGAAAAAATAGTATGCTTCAATGTGCATTCAATCTATTCTCTATCCCTATTATGTTTGTTATTTATTTAGTTGAGTTTGGGGGGGTGGGGTCAGAATACCAATGGAATTTTTAAAAAATATCAAAATCTATCTTATACTTTGTAGAGCATACAGATTTGGGTATATGATCCAGAAAATGCAAGTCCTGAGGAGTTGGCCTCCAATGCATCAAATCCTTCACTTGTAAGTGGAAGCATTCTTTATAACACTTTCATAAATATAATTACCTTGCAATTGCTATAGATATGCTAAGAAATTCTTATTCATACAAAGAATGAAAAAACACTCTCTGAGCAGTAGATCTGAGCTACGCTGAGGTACACTGGGGTGACAAAATACATCAACACAATTTTTGGTTTTTGTGTAATTTATAAGTACCTGGCTAATGTGCTTCCCCCCCAAAAATGAACCAGATTTCCAAAAATTGTCAAACATTTCTCAGAAATGCTTAATAAGTATCCTTTTTGTTTTCCCTGAAACCATTTTATTAACAGTTAACATATCTATATGGGCTGGTCCTGAAGTGAATCAGAATGGCAATATGTTTTAGTTGGATACAACCAAAAAGATTGTCTAGTCTTGTTTAGCAGTCAGTGGCAAGAATCTTCTCTGAGGCTTCCCTGACAAGTGACCATTTGCCCTGTACTTCTAACCTTCTGCTGATTAGGGACTGCAACTACCCTGTTTGTGGTTAATCCTGTTGCTCTAATTTCTGTCATCCAAAATGCCTGCCCACCTAGGTGAAAAGTCCTTCCTCTTGCTCTCCTTACTCATACTGTCACCTCCATCTGCTTAAACTCAGTTTCCTTCCACTGGACCCTCTAGAATTCCTGCTTTGCTGTTTGCAAGCTGATCTTTGTCCTCAATCTCTTCTTCCTGTACTCCTTCCTCTTCAATCTAAATGAAACCTGGTGTATCCCTGATGATGCCATATCCCTTCATACCAGGCTCGTGGTTTTCTTTGTCACACCAATATTCACATGGGTGGCCCCTCTAATACTAGCCTCTCAGTTCATCATGACCTCTATCTCTGTCATATCTTGCTACCACCAATAGTGGTAACCTCTTAGACTTAACCATCACTGAAAATTGTTCCCACCTCTAAGATCTTGAATTCTAAATTTCTAAGGTCACAATTTCCTGAATTTCTATCCTCCCATTGTATCCTTCCTGTTGAACCTGTTCTTCATCTCTATTGTAATCTTGATCCCAAGTAAGGAGGCTTCTGGAGTACGGTGGAAAAAAGAAATTCAGGGAATTAGGAACAGAATTTTGAGGAAAACTGGTGATTCTGAGAAGTTCCAAGATTCTAAGAAGATTCAATTCCTTTCATCTAAGAACTTTTTCTCATGCATTCCTTCCACCCTTTGACTTCTCCTTAGAAAGGACCTCATCCCAGGCCATCCTCTCTAACATTCCTGGATGTAATTTCCTCATTTTTATCTCTCCCTTACCCAGGAAGTAGAGTAAATATCTTCCTTGCTCCACACTGACATCTGCAGAATCTCTTTCTGCTAATTGAGAACCTTTGCTTCTTTAAGGTTCCCTTGAGTCCTATCTAGATCCTGGTTACGTTTATCTCAGTTATCTACTGGCCTCCAAGTCATTCTCCCTCCTTTTTCCATGAATCCAGTACCTAGATCATAACATTCCTCTTCTACCCAATCCCAGCCCTTATATTTTGAGATATATGTGTGTATACATACATATCTATATACATATATACAAATGTATATGCACGTGCCTATGCCTTGAAAGAATATATTGTGTGCTTATTTGATGGATGGTTATAGAGAGATTGATATAGATATATAGATATATGGTAGGCAGCGTACTACTGATAGCTACTTGTCATTATAGAAAAAGTCGGCAAATTTGGAGCATTTCTTTTTGTAAAAGAAAGAATGCTTAACATTTTCAATTTCAGTAACTCTTTGAAGCATTTTATTAAGAGATAACCAGAAGGCCTCTGTGTGAGCAGGAGATTGCCACGGTGATTCCCCTTCTGATTTTACTAACTGCTTCTTGCACAGAGACTATAAGCTAGATTAAATTAGAAGCAGGTGTAATTATTTTGCTTTTTAAAATTTCCTGTGTTAATCCTGAGGGATTAGGGTAGATTTATAAATAGTAATTGTTAGTGTTTAATTATCTGGTTGATTTGATCAATATAGCCATTCAAATGGCTATAATGCCATATAAAAAATGCAAAATAAAATAATAGATCATAACAGTCAGTGAACATAACAGCTTTACATCAAAATTAATGTTTCTCCGTATAGAAATTTTTACCATAAACACACTCCAAGCATAGGAGAAAACCAAAGCAAAGACACAGGAATGGAAAAATGATGTCTTGTATGGGGACCAGCAAAATGGTCAGTTTGGCTGGTCCATAGAAAGTAGGAAGGGGAATGTTCTATATTTATATATATATTAATTATATATATTTATAGATATTAATTATATACATATTATTATGTATATTAAGGCTGGAGAAATAAGTTGGAACCAAATTGTGAAGGGCTGTAAATGCCAAACAGAGACTTTATATTTAATCTTAGAGTCAACAGGGACCACAGGAGTTTATTGGGTAGGAGAATAAAGGCCTGAACTCCAAGGAAAAAATCACCTTGGCAACTGTATGAAGGAAGTATTGGAGAGAGGAGAAACTTAAGGCAGGGCAATTGACTAGGAGTTTATTTCAGTAGGTCAGGCAAAAGATCATGAGAGCCTGAACTGGGTGGTGGCTGTGAGAGTAGAGAGAAGGGAGATGGATGGAAGAGATTTTATGGAAGTAGAAATTACAAGAGTTAGCAACTAATTGGATAGGTGGGATGAGGGAGAGATCTAAGATGACTCCCAGGATATAAACCTGGGAGACTGGAAGAATAGTAGTGCCCTAGACAGGAACAGGGAATTTTTAGTAGGGAAGGTAATAAGGAAGAATAGGCTTGGAGAAAAAGGTAGTGAGTTCTTCAATGCAAATTACAAGTCATCTACACTTCCTCATCCTGTTGCCTCATACTGTCCCACCAAAAAGAAAAATGGAGGTTCATGCCCATCATGTGTCACCAGCCACGGTTCACCCGCCATAGTCAGAAAATGATTTGGCAAGGAGAGGATGCTATATATGAGTATATGTATATGCTGGGACGACAGGAAAAGATTTCCCCAAAGGCAACTCTTGCATAAGTATCAGAAATGCAGTTAGGTTATAACCACCCCAAAGGCAATGCCTGGTATGGAATGAGAGAGATTAGGAGCTTGCATAGTAGGGGGAGGACAGCAATGGGAGGGGACAAAGTTGGGGGGCATTGGGTGATGTTGGGTGAAGAAGGTGGTGGGGTTGTGTGGAAGACAAGCTCCACCATTGTCTGTTGGAGCAAGTGTGGGATTCAGTGCATCTTCCAATCCTTCAATTACTTGATTACACATCCCCATCCATCATCCCATGACCCTTGGATGTATGTACATTCTACTTTGGACACCTCTAGATTAGATGACCTCTAATCTTCCTTCTACATCTAAATATATAATCCTAATAGAATCAAGCTAAAAGGCATGTGCTTCTTCCATTCAGCTAGCTTCTCTTCTTGTAGGGCCAACCCTCATTCCTCTTTCTGTTTCCTTCTCTCTTTCATATTCAAAGTCTTTAATCATTTCTCTGTTCAGCCAATATTCTAGTTTTTAACCACCTTAAAAAAAACCCTATTTATTGCTTACTTTAGTAAATAAGCAAAAAACTTTGTTTGGATGTTTGGTTAGGATGTGAAGCATCCCATCACAAGCATTACTTATGACTCAATCGACCCAGGGCTTCTTTCCATCTAATTACTTTGAGTAGGAGAAACAGGCTAAGAAAACAACAAACCTACATCTCTGAAATACACAAAAGCTTAGTAATTTCTAGTAAAAATATTAAATTCATTCTTTTTACTTGTTGTTGATGAAATCAACTGTAAATTAATTTAATTTATTCCCAAATTAGCATTTTCAAGTATATGCTTTTATGTTAATGTCTATTGTTTTAAAAATATTTTCTTATGGGACCTTTTATGTAACACTGAAATTTTAGAAGTTTAAGTTATAATCTGAAATAAAAATACATGGTAATCAAAAGTTTTTTCTTTATTTTCACAGAATTCCAAGTCACTTAGTATGCAGTTTCTCAGTATGGGACAAGAACCTATGATTGTGTCAATAATCTCTCATCAAGTTTACCCTCCAGAAATCACTAAGCAAGAAGGGTATTTTACTTAAATATTTCAAATGCAAAATTGTTTTTTTATTCAATGAAACTAAAACTAGATAGATTTTCATGATGAGCTCTACAATCTGAGAGAGAGATGAACTCTCAGTTCAGCTGTTTGAAGAATCTTACACAAGAAGTTGACTCTTAACATTATCTAGGAGTTTAGTACTGAGAATCAAGGAATATATCAGGTTGCCAACTCTTCCTATAAAAGGAGTCATTTTTTGCCTCATTTCTTACCTAGCCTTAATCAGTGAATGGGTGTTGCCTCAGACAAACTGTAACCTGGGAAAGACCTTAGCTTAAAAAGGCCAAGGTCTCCCACTACATCCAGGGCCATCTCCAGTTGTCCTGATCTATGTCTTGCCACTGGACCCAGATGGCTCTGGAGGAAAGAGTGAAGCTGGTGACTTTGCACAGCCTTTCCTCACTTAAATCCAATTTACTTGAAAGTCAAGACATCACCTTCCTGGTGGCACTGGTCCTCTTCAAGAATGAAGGACAAACAACAATCATGCTTACAATGTGGTGGGAGGGATCTAGGGGAGAGTCATCCTCCCATTCAACATTCAAAACCCACACCTTCCCTTGAGGTCTCTCTTTCCTTCTCTGCTTCTTTCAGTCAATCAGGAGGAGTCAAACTTCTTTATACATATACAGCACAGAGTGAATTGTCAAGTTTGCCTGTGGTTAGTTACATAACGTAGCATTTGTGCTCTGAGAGTTTGGAGATTTGGTTGAAGGCAAAAATGAAAGGGAGGCTACTCCCTCTTCTGACCCCCATCCCCGGTCAGCCTGGTCTAAACACTCCTTTTCTCCTCTCCTCCCTACCTACCTTTTCTTGAATGACAGCCCTTGACCCCAGCCCTACCAAGAGATTTCTCTATGCATACCTGAAGACAGAAGGAGAAATAATGGAAAAGTTAATGTTACCTGACAGCCCAATCTCCTCTCAGACAGCAATGATAATTGCTAAAAACTTATCTTTATCCATTCTGGGACATTTATTAAAATTAGTAAATCAATATCATTCTTCATATCACTCCCAGGCCCAAATCAGTATCAAAATTTATCAATGATTTGCTCTCACCAATGATAATAAAACCAGCCACAAATCATGAAATGCAAAAATCAAAAGCAGTTATGATTGATGATATTTTACCACAGAGTAATTCAGAATTACAGATGAACTTAAAGCAATTTTGGATTAGACATATTGCCTTCTTGGACAGAAAGGTAGAAGAGGCATCTCACCATTTGCATGAATTCTAAGTCAGGGGAAAGTTTGTCACTGATCAGGCATGCTCCTTGCTCTAGTATTGCCATCTAGTCTTGGACAAAAGTAGTGGTGGCCATAGTAGAGACTGGTCACTCCCTATACTAGCCAAAGAGAACTGTCTCTCTTTTACTCAGTGTTCATTTCCTCTCCTCACACTTTCTTGCTCAATTCACCAAATTCTCCATCAAACAATCTATTCTCAAACCTGTGCATCCATATACATACTATCTCTCTCACTCTTTGTCTTTCCTCTGCCTCCCTTTCCCCATTTCTCTCTCTCTATCTCTTTTTCTCTCTCTCTCTCTCTCCTTCCTGTATCTTTCTTTCCTCCCCCTCCTCTCTCCTCCCCTTTCTCTCTCTTTCTCTTTACACACTACCTACCCCAAGGACAGGAAGAAACAGCAGTGTCTCTTTAGGACTACATCTCCCAGAAACTCCCATAACTAGCTCCTGAGAACCTTCTCTCTACCCATTAAGGAATCAGTCTTCCCAAACCTCACTAAAATAGTAGTGGTTGAACATGAAGGGTTCAAATTTGGAGTTGATGATGTAATATTGAGAGAAGGAATCCATGCTGAAAGACATGTTTCACACAATAGTGGTTGTAATTAGATGTCCCTTGCCTCAAAAGATTCCCAAATTTATCCAAAGACTTGTCTGATTGTCTCACACTCCCACTGTTAGGTAGGTTAAAGTGTTAGTGTTAGGGGAAATACAGAGCAATAAGCCTGGAAGTGTAGTCTGTAGTTATATTATGAAGGCTAGACAATTAGATCACTCTGCTTAAAGTGGGTGATAGAATGCCACAGTATGATTTGTCAAGTGTGAACACACATCACTTTCTCACTAAGCATGAATACCTCCCTAGCTAGGTATGACAGGATGTCTGTTCATATTGGTTGAGGGACTTGGTCACATCCTCTTGGTCCTGTATAAAACAATAGAGCAAGTTGGAATCAGAGATTCAAGGGTGCAGCACCAAAGAGGAGATATCCCAGCTAAACCCCAGAGAAGGAATTTTTCTTCTTTTTAAAAAAATTATTCATTTATTTTTAACACTTTTCTTTTGAATTTTTGAGTTCCAGATTGTTTCTCTCCCACCCCTCCTCTACCCACTGAGAGTGCAAACAAAATTATATCAATTATACATGTGAAATCATGCAAAATATATTTCTGTATTAGCCATGTCACAAAAAAGCAAAATTATTATAATAATAATGAAGAAAACAAAAAATCATACCTCAGTTTACACTCAGTGTTCGTCAGTTCTCTCTCTGGAGATGGTTAGCATGTTTTCACATAAGTCTTTTGTAATTGTCTTGGATTGCTGTATTGATCAGAGTAGTCAAGTCTTTCACAGTTGATTGTCATTACAACATTGCTGTTTGCACAATGATCTCTAGGTTCTCACTTTGCATCAGTTCACACTGTTCTTTTATTTCTTCTGAAAACTGCCTGCTCATATTCTTTGACTATTTATCAATTAGAGAATGGCTCTTATTTTTATAAATCTGACTCAATACCCTGTAAACTTGAGAAATGAGGCCTTTATCAGGGAAAGTTGCTATAAATTTTTTTGATATTACTGCATTGTCTATGGTTTCCCTGATTATCTCTTTTAATTAGGTCTGGTTTTGGTTTTGCTTTGTCAGAGATCATGATTGCTACCCCTGTCTTTTTTTACTTCAGCTGAAGTATAATAGATTCTGCTCCACCCTTTTATTTTAACTATGTGTATGTCTTTTTGTTTCAAGTGTGTCTTTTGTACACAATATATTGATATTGTTGGATTCTGTTTTCTAATCCATTCTGCTATCCACTTCCATTTTATGGATGAGTTTCATCCCATTCACAGTTATGATTACTGTGTATTTCCCTCCATCCTATTTTCTTCTGTTTATCTTTCTCTCTCTTTTGATCCTGTTCCTCCTTAGAAGTTGTTTTACTTCTGACTATTGCCTCCCTTATATCATCCCCCTTCCATATTTTTTATCCTCCTCCCCGTTTCCCTTTTGAGCAAGATAAATTTCTATACCCAACTGAGTGTGTGTGTGTGTGTTTCTTCCCTCTTTGAACTAATTCTGATGAGAGTGAGGTTCAAGCATTTCCTGCCACCACCACCCTCATTTCCCCCTTTACTATAAAAGCTCTTCCAAGTGCACCTCTTATATGTAAGAAAATTTTCCCTGTTCCAACTCTCCCCCTTCTCCCAGTGCATCCCCTTTCTCACCCCTACATTTTTTATTTTGAAGATCATCCCAACACAATCAACTCATTCCCATGCCTCCTGTTTATGTAAACTCCTTCTAACTTCTAACTAATAATGATAAAGTTCTTAGAAGTAATTTGTATCATCTTCTCTCTCCTCAATCTATTTATCAGGTCAGTTTTTTTCCCAATGAAATATTTCACATTTTCTTCTATTTCTTTCATTCTTTGGACTTTTTAATTTTTAAGTAATTCTTTTCTTCAGTGAACTTTGTACCTATTTTTCCCTTTGGCCAATTTTGCTTTTTAAAGTTCATGTCTTCAGTGAATTTTTGTACCTCTTTTATCATTAAGCCCATTCTGTTTTTAAGATGTTATTTTCTTCACTATTTTTTGTGCTGCTTTTACCAAGCTGTTAATTCTCTATTCATAATTTTCTTGTATCACTCTCATTTCTTTTCCCAACTTTTCCTCTGCTATTTTTATCTCTTTCTTTAACACTTCCAGGAATTCTTGTTGGCCTTGTGTCTAATTAACATTTTTTTTGAGCCTTTGCTTGTAGCTGTTTTTACATTGTTGCCTTCTTCTAAGTTTATGTCTTGGTCTTCCCTGCCACCATAGTAACTTTTTATTGGTCAAGTTCTTTTTATGATTGTTTGCTTATTTTCACAGCTTATTTCTTCACTTTGAACTTTATGCTAAAGTTGGACCCTGCTTACCTGGGGTTGAGGAGGCACTGTGCCAAGATTCAGGCTTTTTTGTGCTACTGTTTTCAGGGCTAGTTCTGGGGTCCTGCAAGTTTTCAGTGTTTCCAAAGTGGTGTTATCCTGGGGGAGTTGTGGTCACTGCTTTCCTGGTCTGTGCTCTGGTCTTTACCCAGGAAGGGCCCCTGGTCACCTGTAGCCACAAATGCTAGCACTCCTCTTGGTCCTGAAACTGTGACCAGGGCTCCTGCTCCCTTGTGACCAGTCACAAGTGCTCCTCTACATCCTGAACTGTAACCCATAACTGCTTACAGGCAATATAGTTGCCAATCATCACCAGCTGCACCCAGTGCCAGCAGAGAGTCCCCTTAGTTATCTGACCCCCTTACCATCTCTGGGCTGAGAGCTCCTGAAGCTGCTGCTGCCTCCAAAGCACACTACTGGTGCTCCTGGCCCACTCTACACCTGTGCCTACCCCACTGTCACAATCCTCTCCTGCAGACTTCCTAAATTGTCTTAGGCTGGGGAAAAAAACATAAACATGTCTCCCTATGAACTTTTATTGACTTTGTTCCTCCAGAATTTTGTTTGAGGCATTATTTCAAAGTTACTTATGGGGGAATACTGGGAAAGTTCAGCTGGGTCCCAGCCTATACTCCACCACCTAGAGAAGGAATGATTAAGGGAAGAGAAGCAAAGCCCTGGACTTTGGTTTCTTCCCCTCCTCCTACCTTGGCCAGAGGAGCCTGGGATTTGGAGGGAAAGATGCAGAGGATCTGGACTTTTCTCTGGGCATTCTAACAG